ATTAGTTTCTGGGCTCTCTGTTTCATTCCATGGGTTTTTATGTTGGGTTTTCAGCAAGTAGCATACCATGCTGTTAGACTCACTGTAGCTTTATAGTTAGTGAGTTAGACAGCTGGTTCCTGCATCCGTCTATCCTAGTCTCCTAGGCCAGGCTAGCTCAAGATGTGCGGTTCAGGTGGGCCTTGCACTCACAGTCCTCAAACCTCAGCTTCCCAAGGGACGGCTCTGCAGGCACACACACCACCAGCTATGGAGTGTAGTTTGGAGTGAGGTGTTTTCTTCAAGATCACTTTGATTATTCTGGGATTTATATAAACTTTAGGGTTTATTTGTTTATTTCTTTCCTCTCTATTTGTGTGAAGAAGGGCCTCACTCTGTATCCTATTGACTTGGAACTCACTGTGTAGCCTAGGCTGACCCAGAATTTGTGGCATTCCTTCTGTTCCAGCTTTGAAAGGGCTGAAATATCACCCTTGGCTGGCATGGAGTTGCTTTCTTAGTCCTGTTCCAGAACATTCATTATTGTGGTGTAAAAATGGTGCTAGCTTCTGTGTATTGACTTTTTTGTCTTGTCACTTTGCTGGATTTGTTTGTAAGTTCTAACAGTTTTTTAAATTGATTTTTTAGTTCAACATGCAACGTGATGGGATTCATCTGACAGCTTTTTGGCAGTTAGGTTTCTCTCCACATAAAAGCACCATCATCTGCACGTGCCTAATTTAACTTGCCCTCTTTTCCTTGCCCAGTTGCTCCTGCCAAGACATCAGTGTGACGTTAAATAGGAGTGTGGCATGGACACCCTTCTTGCTCCTAATCTTAGAGAAAGCATGGACAGTGTCTCCGTAGCCACTGTGATTTGACTGCGGGCTCTTAGCTTACTGCTGTTACTGATAGAAGTGTGCTCTGTCTAAATCCCGTCTGTGGAGAGTTTCTCTTTGCACAATGGCTATGTAGCTTTTGCAGAGACAGCTTTAATTTTTAAGATGGGAAATGGCAGTTTCTCTGGATTCATGTTTTTGCATTGGATATAGCGCCTATGTGATTTTGCTGTTTTGATTGACAACAGCATGCCTACAGCGGTTCGAGGAGTAGAGCCTGTAGAAGTTCATGAAGTTACTTTTGTGTCTTTGCAGAGGACACAAGCTTTTGCTGGTCCTGTCTTCAGGCTCCATGGAGCCAAACCCTGATGGCACTAGGGCTTGTGATGGTGGTGCCACGGTCTTGGAGGTACGAGATGAGGTTGGGTTTTTTGTAGGTCCCTTAGAGTAAGTGCAGCTGATACCAAAGGTACTGATACCTGTGGTGGTAACCCCTGTAGGTGGCCTACCTGGGATCCCCAGGGTAGATGTGGGAAATGCCTCAGCCTGGAGCACTAGCAGTCACAGGGTAGTGTGGGAACAGTCTCAGCTCTGAGGGTGGGCAATGGTGGTGCTGTGGTCAGTTATAGTGGCAACTGTGGTTTAAGGTTTCGAAGCCCAGCACTGTTGCTTCCTACCTAGCCAGGAAGCAAAGGGGGGCTTCCCAAGGTCCAGAGGGGGTGATTTCAGTTGGTGATTCTGCTGTGGTACTGGTAGCAACAGTCGTGGATTTTAGGGTCTGTATGTATCTTTCCAGGCCCCAGGAATGGCAATGAGGCTCATTGTCCCAGCTCTTTGTAGTTGGAATTTTCTTTGAGCCACCAGCCAGCTCCCAAATAATGAATGGAGACTTATTATTAATTATGAATGCTCAGCCTTAACTTAGGCTTGTCCCACCAGCTCTTTTAACTTATTTTAACCATGTTTCTATTCATCCATGTTTTGCCTCAGGGCCTTTTGCCTTTCTTTCATCCCATATGTCCTACTTCCCTGTGTCCTCCTTGTCTGTCTGGTCCCACTTACACCTCCGCTCTCACTGTTGACCATGCAGCGTTTTATTAGACCAGTCAGGTGCCTAAGGCAGGCAAGGTAAAACAGCAATGCATCTTTACATAGCTAAACAAATGAAACACATTTTTGCATAGTTAATCAAATATTCCACAACAGCTCTTTTTGTCACAAAGCCAGGGATTATAGTGAGATGTCCTTACCTGTGTTGGGCCATGTGCAGGTAACATGTAAGCTGGTGGTGTGGTAAGACCTCCCTGGGATCCTTGGGTTGAGCAGACATGGTCCTGGAACTCATGCTTTTGGCATCTGGAGCTCATTTGGTATTTGAAGGCTGTTTAGCACGTTCCTAGGTCACACAGAATAGACTCTGGTGGACCCACAGCTTACTGAACTGGTAGATGCTGTGGAGATGCAGAATACAGAATACAGACAGGTTTTCCCACAGCCCCAGGGACAAACTTGGCTAATGCCAGAGGGTTTGTTTGTTTGTTTGTTTGTTTGCTTTTTTTCACCAGTAGGTGCTGCCTCATGTCAAGTACCTTCCCCGGCCCCCACCAGGAAAGTGCAGGCATGCCCAAGTAGTGTCAGGTCCTAGGGTTACTGGTTCTCATGTTCCTGGAACTCTGGGAAACAGCTGGGGCTTTTCTCAGCTCCCACAGACAAGGGAGGCAGCCCTGAGATTGTGCGATGTGGTGGGGGCACTGGGTGTAGTAGAAACTGGAAGTGGAAGTCAGCTTGTTGCTGTCACACCTGCGGGTCCTGAGGGTGTAGGTGTACAATGCCTGTTGCAGTACTTGTGCCCTGGGCTTCTAAGAGACAGGCCCTAGAAGCTATCAATGGGTCTAGCATGACAGTTGCAACTTGGGTTCTGGAGTTGTGGGAGCATACAGTAGGTTCCTTCACTCTTAGACATCCCAGCTCCTCACACTGGATACAGACTTAGTGAAGTACGGAGACCTTAGCATCTCCTCTAGCTGGGACTGGGGGCCATTGTGGTGTGGAGGCTGCGATTACTCAACCTTGCCTGGCACTGTTGCTTCCTGACCTGGCCAGGAAGCCGGGGTGAGGTAGCAAACTGTGCTCATCTTATCTCTTCCCTCTTCCTTTTCTGCTCTCCCCTCTCCTCCACTTTCTTTCTCCCCCCTCTTTCTTCCTCTCTCCCTCTTTCTCCATTCTCCTTTTTCTCCTCCCTCTTTCCCCATTCTCCTCTCTCTCCTCTTTCTCTCTAGCCTTCTTCTGCTTGACTTAATCTATAGCTGAGGCTGGCCAGGAGCTCAGTGTGAGTCCTGGCTGACCCTGAATTCACAGCAATCCTTCTGCAGCACTCTCCTGGCTACTGGGGTTACAGGCATTCCCCGACACCGGCACTTTCACCCAGTGCTACTTAGGTCCCTATTGCTTCTTCACCGACCCCAAAGCCTTACCTTGTGGTTTCCTCTCAAAGTGCAGTGTCCCTTTTATATTTGAAAAGGGTTTCTTTGTAAATTCATGTGCATGTGTCCAAGCCAGTGTGAGTTTATGTGCACCGTGTGTGTGGGTGCCTCCAGAGGTCTGTAGCGGCCTTTGAATTCTCCAGACCTGGAGTTCAGCCACTTCATGTTACTTTTGGAGAAAGTCTCTCGGTGAACCTGGAGCTCACTGGTTTGACTAAACTGGTTAGCCAGCAAGCTTGTCTCTGCTTCTCCAGAGTTGGAACTACAGATGTGCACCACTGTGGGCATTTTACATGGGTGCTGGGGGTCCAATTCAGTTAGTCATGTTTTACTAGTAGAGCCATCCTCCGGTGCCTTGGCCAGCAGTTGTTTTTGTCTCAGGTGTATACTGCAATGCTCTTGTATGGCACTAACAGTGGAAGGCTGACCAGTGTTACGTCTGTATTTTTACTGTGGAAAGGTGTAAGATTTGCAGGTCTGTCGTTAAGTGTACAATTCACAGGCACTAAGTACATTCTGTCTGCTGTGTAGCCGCCACTATAGCCATCTCTGCGATCTCCCACCACCTCTAGCCGGAAATCCACAGCATTAGGCAATTAGTTTTCCCTGACTCCCTCACTTTGCAGTCCCATACTCCAGTCTTCACTATCATTGTGAACTTGTCTATTCTGGACCTTTTCTAGATATGGAATCTTACAATGTTTGTCCTTTTATGGTGGCTGACGTTGCTGAGCGTGAGGGCTATGTTCCTTCACGTTGTAGCCTGTGTTGGAGCTGACTCCTTCCCATGACTGACCAGTCCCATGGTGTGGATAAGTCATTTCATGTCCCTATTCATATGTGGGTCATGGGCTGGCTATTGCCCTGGTCAGCTGGTTTGTCCACTTCAGCGATACTTCCAAACACCTGGGAACCCTAAATATACCTAGGATGGACTCCCAGCCCCTTAGTAAGCAGTTAGGGGTGCTGAGCCTGCAGGTGACTAGCCGCAGATGTCCTCATAGCCCAAGATAAGCCTTTTCTTCCCATGCTGACTGCACCTGGGATCTGGTGTTTTTCCTGCCCTTCCACGGCTATGGTGTCAACTGGGTCACCAAGGACCTTATCTCATCACTAGCTCTTAAGCATCAAGCTGTAGCTGGAAGTGAAGCCTGGTCAGGACGGGAACCATGCTGGTAGCCTGGGGCAGCATACACCAAATGGCTTCCAGTCTCTGTGATGGAAACCCTACCATGAGGTTCTGCATTCTTCCCACAGTTCTCCAGTCTGATCTCCCTCCACAGCCTGCACCTCTACCATGTGAGAAGCTGCTGTGCCTCTCATCATAATGACCCTGTGCTTTGGAGGAGGGAGAATGTCTTCTGCCCACCCCCGGTCTTCCCAGGAGGCTGGGTGGCAGCTTTCCTCTCACATGGCCTTTCATTGTCCTCCACTGACACCAGTGTGGCTGTCGGGGACATCGCTATTAAGAGTATATACTTCCTTGGTGCTTCCTCCAGTGTCTAGCCTGTCCCTCAGCTGGTCGGAGTGGCCCCAGAAGAGTTTGGCTGAAGCCGTTCTAGGGAAGCGGCCTCCTCTCTCATCACCAGGGAATGAATGAAACCTGATGCTCCCCTCTTCCAGCCACAAGGCGAGAGTCGGGCCCCCGCCTCAGTCTCCCTGGAGCTATGGGTTACTCATGACCACTTTTCTCTTTCAGAACAGTTAATCTGGACAACCCGGTGCTCCAGCAGGTGCTGGAGAGGAGGCACGAGGTCCTGTGTGTGCTGATACAGAAGATCGTGACCACGCAGAAGTGTGTGATATCTGAGCATGTGCAGACGGAGGAGAAGTGTGGAGGCATGGTGGGGATTCAGACCAAGATCGTGCAGGTACCAGGTCCCAGCATGGAGACCTTTCCCCGTGGGCCCCTTGTCCGGTGCCTTCCTCCTTCTACAGAGAGACACAGGACTCAAGCTGGCTCTGGTAAACAAGCCCTCCCTGGCTCATGTAGCTAAGGTCTTTGAGGTATCTGGCCTCAGTGTCCGTGTGACCCAGGACATGAAGATGTGAGCCGCTCTCCTTCCCGGAAAGTGGAGTTGTCTTCCTCGTGGAGGTTGTGGCTCCAGGCTGTCCTCAGATTTGTCACAGTGCAGGGAAAGAGTGTTCCAGGGCTGGATCTCACCAGACCGTGTGGGTTGCATCCTTCTCAAGCGGTGGTAATGGAATCCTGGTGAAGTGGTTGTCAACCTGTGGCTTGCGACCCCCTCAACAAACCTCCGTCTCCAAAAGTCACTTACATTATGATTCGTAACAGTAGCAAAATTAGAGTTATGAAGTAGCAAGGAACAGAATTTTATAGTTGGGAGTCACCACAACATGGGGGACTGTGTTTAAAGAGTCACAGCATTAGGAAGGTTGAGAACCACACTGCTCTAGTGTCTAGCTGGATCTGGGCCAGGCACCGTCCCTTATGGAAGTAGAATGCGTCTGTCAAGGAAATTGTTTACTCAGGCACTAGCTGGGCCAGAAACAAGAGGATCTGTCTGTCTGTCTGTCTGTCTGTCTGTCTGTCTGTCTCATTTACAGCTTCTTTCAGATTCCAACTGCCCCTGGAGTTGATTCATTAGCCCTTAGCTGACTGCAGGGCATAGAATCTTAGTAGTCTCCATCTTGGTAGTGCTTGCTTTCCCTAGAAGACCCAGGAGGCTGTGTTTGGCAAGGGTCTGGGGGGGTGTGGTTGTAAGTCTAGATCTGGGGCTGGTGGATAGGCAGGTGAGTGGCAGATCACAGACGGGAAAGGAGGAGCTGATAGAGGTGGCTTCAGCTAGCCCTGCTGTCACTTCTGCCCTGGTCACTGCCCACTGAAGCCCAGCTGTTGCTGTTATCTCTTGACTCAAAGTAAACCCTGTACCAGGGGCAGATCGCTACACTGGGCTGTTTGGCTCCAGTGTCTGGCCAACAGAGAGATCTCCAGCTTCCTGTTCCTGGGTGTACTGTGGGAAGGACCTGATACCCCAGCCCTGCCCATCCAGCTTCCTCCTGTCTGTCTCTCTTCCAGCCTCTCCTACTGCCTTGCCATGTAGCATAAATTTTAATTGTTCTTAATAATGAAAACCCAGAGACAGATGTTGGGGTTAAAGCTGAAGATCAGAGAAGCCAAGTGGCAGCCACTGGAGACTTCTCACCTCTACCAACGCTTGGACCGAAGGGGTGATCCTGTCCTCAGACTGCATCTGTCTCCACTAAACCTCAGACTGCACTGAGCTCCTTCTTTACATTCCTCTCTAGTGCTGGGATTAAACGTGTGGTATCCCAAGTGCTGAGATCACCTTTGTGTGAGCTCTGTTCCTCTTTTAGACTGAATCAGTTTTGTGTAGCTTAGGGTGGCCTTGAACTCACAGAGATCCCTTTGCCTCTGTCTCCCAAGTGCTGGGATTAAAGGTGTGCACCACCACTGCCTGGCCTCTATAGCTAACTGGTGTGGCTAGCTTTGCACTCTGATCTTCAGGCAAACTTTCTTTGTTAGATCACAAACAAAATATCACCACATTATCATCCCAGCTTTGTGTAGAACATCAGCCATAGGGGTGTGAACAGTTCAGTGGACATTTCTCAGTCAGCCTTAATCCTGTTGGGGTTTTCACTGGGATTTCAAAATTGTTTCTCAAAGCCTTCAAAGGGAACTGGAAACTGATCTTATCTATCTGCAATCATATATCACATAGCTATGCTATGAGTTACATCGCCAGGTAATTTTGTTGGTGATGTCACACCACGGAGTAGCTTATACAGGCCTAAATGTCTGCAGGGCTTCATGGTGGACCTGAAGGGATACAGTGAACCTGACACTCAAGAGGCTACTGCCAGTCTAACTCAGCACACAGCTTATAGCCTGCTTCCTCCCTCCCTCCCTCCCTCCCTCCCTCCCTTCCTTTCCTCCCTTCCTTTCCTCCCTTCCTTTCCTCCCTTCCTTCCTCCCTTCCTCCCTCCCTTCCTTTCCTCCCTTCCTCCCTTCCTTTCCTCCCTTCCTTCCTCCCTCCCTCCCTTCCTTTCCTCCCTTCCTTCCTTCCTCCCTCCCTCCCTCCCTCCCTCCCTCCCGCCCACCTGCCTGCCAATATGGAATGTACTCTTAAAATACTGTAAAATGTAATGTTAAAGATCTAGTCTAGTGTGCATGAGCCAGCAGCATAGCCATTTATAATTACCACGTGTTCCATGCTGACAGTGACTGAATGTGCCCAGGGGACCTGTTAGCAGCATCACCATAGATATGAGCGAAGCCTTCTGCAGTGATGTTACAGTGCCCATGAGCACACTAGGACATAGAAGCCTTCTGTTGCCATTAATCCACTTATTGTGGGACCTCAGCAGTATAGTATTAAGTATGTTGTTATCAAGGCATGTTCTGTGGTGTAGCTTCCTACCCCATGCTCTGCCATCTTACCCCTGCCACCAGATACCAGTGCCAACCGTCTCCATCTCTTTCCTTAGATCGGTGCCTATTTCCCAGAATTCTTAGGAGGCTGGGCATAGGGGTGACAGGAAGAAGCCAAGAGTGCTTCTTGAGTACACAAGGGGTACATATTTTGCTCACAGGTGTCAGCAATGGAGGACGGGACCGTCATCAAGGATACCAATGTGGTGTTGGAGATCCCTGCCGCCACCACCATTGCCTGTGGCGTCATCGAGCTGTATGTGAAACAGGATGGCCAGTTTGGTGAGTCGTCATGAGGTATGCCCTGGTAGAAAGGGAGAAGGAAATAGCAGAGGGATGTGAGCATCACAGGATCAGGGAGGCCCTGGGAAGCCAGGGGCAGGGTGCACCTCCTGCTCCTCAGGTGTCACTGTGGCTGTGGGAGGAACGGGGGCTCGGTGGCCAGCCAGACCCCCGCGAAGCTGCTGAGCGTCCCCCAGGTTAAGGCCCCATGAAGTTGCTTTTCTGTTGCCACGAGAAAGCACATGACTGGGCAACTCATAGGAGCAAGGGTTTGCTTGGGCTTACAAGTCTAGAGGGATGGAAGCCCATGAGTCTGGGAAGCAGCAGACAGGACAGTGGGAGCAGGGTGTTGAGAGCTGGCACCCTTCATTGTAAGCATAAAGCAGCAGGAGCAGGAAGTGTGTGAGCCTTTACCTCCTGTCCCACTCCCGGCGACACACTTCCTCCAACAAGGTCACAGCTTTTCAACCTGAGGACCAAATGTTCAAATGCCCAAGATTATGGGGGACATTTCTCATTTAAGCCGCCACAGGCCACCTGCTCAGAAGGGGAATGAGAGTCCCTGATGGGTCTTGGATGGAGTTAAGCCAGCCGAGGCCTGGGAAGTGCTCTGACATAGCAATGAAAATAATTTTGTGGTAGGGAGGGGTCCCTACCACAAAAGGAACTGTATTTAAGGTCACAGCATTAGGAAGGCTGAAAACCATTGTACTAGATGCCCAAGCCCCTTCCCTATTCCCAAGGAGAACACTACCTGACTGCGTTTTTAGGAATGGGGAAATGTAACATCACAAACTGGTGTTAACCTTTCTGGCTAGGATAGAGATATTACGCTTTTGTCCACTGAAAGCTATCTTTTGAAAGTTCCTTCTGAAACGTCTCAGATAAATAGTCTGCCTGTGGCTTGCTTTCAAAATGGCATTAGCGGGTGTGTGGTGGGGGTAAGGTAAAGGACGCAGCTGGCAGTTGGGTGTGACAGTCACTGAGGCTGGCAGATGTGCACTATGGTCACTGTAGCTGTGTACTCTTGTTAAGCGTGAGCTTTGCTCTAGAGAACAGACTGCAAGCATGCCGTGTGCCACTCTCCTGCTTGTCTTTGATGTGGGTGAGGTGAGCTGGCCTCTGTGACACCGTGTTGACTCTCACGAAGACCACACGACATGCTAGCCCACTCTGCTGCAAAGATGGGAAAAAGGTCACCAATGTCACCCACCCAGTGGGCACTCAAGGGTCTGAAAGGGACAAAGCATTGAGCCTCCCCACTGGCCTGTGCTTTGGGGGCGGGGGCTGGGGGTTGGGGAGTGGGAGTGGAAGTGATTTGTCTGAGGGGACGTTTAGAGAAGGTGTCGGTTTTAAGAAATTGATTAGGAATGCTAGGTGAGGGGAACCTGGGCTGCTCAGAACACTGGGGTGGCCATTACATCCCAGTTGCAACTAGTTCACAGCATTTAAAAAGAGAGTTGAGCCTTGGCCTGGCTATGTTGCTGAGAATGGCCCTGCACTAACTCCTTATCCTCCTTCCTCCACCTCCAAATAATGGGATCACAGCTTATGCTGCCACACCCGGGCCCTCCAGTAATTCTTTCTTTCTTCTCTTTTTCGTTTCCTCCCATGTCCTTTCCTTCCTTCTCCCCTTTCTCCTCCTTACCCCCTGACCTGTTTGTTTGCATGTGAACACACCCGAGGGTGATCAGGCTGCTCCCGGTATCAGCGTATGATAAGCAGTGTCCCTGTGCACTTGTGTGGTTCAGTGGGTGCAGATGCTTCAGGGGCCTCTCAGGCACATTTGACTGATCGTCACTCTTTCTTGAGGCTCAGTTGGTAAACACTGCAAATATTCATGAGTACAATAGTGATATTCGCTGTGGTTACCACAACCACACTAATCTACTCAGCCAGGACATCACATAATCAGCATTTTTGGATATGTGTGTGTGTGTGTGTTTGCATTTAGGCTATACTAGTTTTAGTTGAGACTTTTGTAAATGACTACATGTATTTATTTGCGTCTGTACATTATGTCAGTTTTCTCCTTCTACCGTTTGGGCCTTGGGGCTACAACCCAGGTTTCCAGGCTTGCTTTACCCACTGGGCCACCTTGCTGTCCCACATTTATCATTTCTCTTGATAAGAGCATCAATAACGGCACAGGCTGTTTTGAAATCTACACTGTACTATTAACTGCAGCCGAGTCTACTTCCTGTCATCCGGCTGAGGCTGTGTGCCCAGCCTGTCTGCTCAGCCCGATCCCTTTCTCAGCCTCAGAGAAGGGCAGCTCTGCTTTCCTTCCAGGAGAGCAGCATCCTTTAGCCTGACTCACGTTCCCCACACACGATTTCCCGGGTTCCTCCATGTGGTCCCACATGATAGAATTTTTTTTGTTCAATGGCTAAATAATATTCCTTTCTGTAAATGTGCCATGTTCTGTTCATCTGTTGCTGAGCTGGTAGGTTGAGTCTAAGTCAGAAAACAACAAAGTATCACTGCTGATACTGTGGAGGTCTTGACTTATTTTGTTGTTGCTGTTTTTGCTTTTACATTATTTTATGTGTATGAGTGTTTGGCCTATATGAATGTATGTGCACCGTGTGTGTGACTGGGGAGGTCCGAGGGGAAGGCATCAGACCCCCTGGAACTAGAGTTAGGGATAGTTGTGAACCACCATGTGGGTACCAGAAACCAAACTCAGGTTCTCTGGAAGAGCAGCCAGTGCTCCTAACTGCTGAGCTGCAGTACTTTCTTTTATTTCTCATTCCCAGGGCTCCCATCTTCACTTTAAACCCTAACATTTATTTTAACCCACACATTTGTTTCCATGGTAACAGCATCACTAATGCTTGTCCCAATTTTGTATATTTGATGACAAAACTTCCTCATAACTGGAACTTTGGGTCATTTAGCCAATGGGTTTCTATTTCATCTACTTCATAGGCCCCATGATCACTATTTTTCTCTGCTTTGTGAGTTTCACTCTTCTAGATTCTACATATGAGTGTGATTACACAGTGTTTGTCTTCATGTGTCTGGGGCTTAATGTTCTCCAGATCTGTGCATGGGTTTCCTTTTCATGAGTGAGTAGTATTCGTTGTGTGCATATAACTGCAATTGTTTTATCTAGTATACTTTATTTATATATTTAACTACTGTGTTATTTCTTTAAGGTCCTTTGAAAATGTGGCCCATGAGAGAGGATGGCTATGAACTTTGGGAGAATCCTTGGTGGCTAGAGACCAGGAAAGAAGCTTTTCCCTGCCAAGCTGCTTGCAGCTCATTTGGGGTGGCCTGTTTGACCAGGAGCTTCTTTCTTCTTAAAGTTATGCTTTCTGCATTCTGCCATCTCCTAACCCCCATCCCTGGCCTTGGAGGCAGCTGCACAGCTTTTGTCCTCTGTTGAGCACTCATCTTTGCATGCTGTGGCCGGGTCCCTAGCCATTAGAGCTCTGCTCTCTCCCCTTTGCTACCTGTCTGTATTTCCTGTCGCTCTCCACATGGAACAGTCTGATAACTCTCACCAGCAAACTTCTGGGGGCTGGAAGGAGAACCTGTCCAGGCTTCCGACCTATGGCAGGGTTACTGTGGACAGCCGCCCTAGCTGTCCTGTGGGAGCTGAAAGGAGATGCCTGTCCATGCTTCCTGCCTGTGGCAGGGTTAGTGTGGACAGTGGCCCTGGCCGTCTAGTGAATCCCAAGAAGCCAACTCCACCCTTCTGTGTTCTCAGAAGCCGTGGAACGCCTCCTTCCAGGCTCTCACTGGTCTAATAGAGGCACTATCCTTCCTTCTGAAACTGAGCTTGCACTTGGGCAGTGGCTATCTGTTCATCCTCTAGTGTGACTTCAGTCTGATGGTCCCAGCAGTGACACTGTTCCTCACTCTGCCTTCCAATCCCAAGCGTCTATCTGGGGCTGTGGAATGACTGAAGCAACTCCCTTCTTCTCACCCCCCCATGCTCAGAAACCCTGTGCTTTCTTCCGTCTTGCAGTGTAGCGAGTAGTGAGGATTGTAAGCTACAATCGAGCATTCCATTCACCTGCTCATACTCTCCATGGTTGCCTCTGTTCCCAGGATAAGCTTTGACCTGCAAGTATTCCCAGCTTGACCTCTTATCACCTGCCCCCTGGTCTCCCTGGAAGGAAGTTAATCCATTGTGTGGAAACACCCAGCCCTGTGCCCAGCTTATGCTGGAAGGTGGCTGCTTGGGCTCCGCTTCAGCCAGGAGTCCTGCTCTGGTTCTCCTTCACCATGATGGCATTAGGGTGTGAAAGCCCACATATTTTACGGTGAAGGAATGTGAGGAAGTGTGGAGGACAGAACCTAGGACTTTCTGACCCTCCTTTGAAGTGGTGGCACACCGTCCAGGAGAGGTCAACCAAAGGTTCCACCTCATCTCAGAGGGCAAGGACAAGGACACAGAAGGAGCCCTTGGGTACTCCTAAGCTTGCTGTAGTGCAGGGTTATTCTTTCTGTTGGCCATGCTGCGCTCCATCAGACTGAACATGAAACTCTCAGGTGAGCAGGCAGGGTAGCACATGTCTGTAATCCCAGCAACCAGATCTAGGGTTAGAGGTCAGCCTGGGCTACACAGTAAACCTCTTTACTAGTTATTTTTCTGTTGCCGTGACAAAACACTATGACCAAAGACAACTCAAGGAAGAGAGAGTTTAATTTGGCTTCTGGTCCCAGGGAGAGGAGAGTCCATCATGGAGGGGCAGAGGCATGTCAGTAGGGACAGGAAGCTGAGGTCACACTAGGTGACAATAGCTCAAAGCTGTAACTCTCAGAGCCCGCCCCCAGTGACATACTTCCTCCAGCGAGGCTGCACCTAACACTGCCACCAGCTGGAGACCACACACTCAAATGATGAGCCTATGGGAGACATTTCTCATTCAAACCACCAGACCGTGTCAAGAAACAGATGCAAAGAAGCAAAGGCGTTTTTGTGTCTTCTAGCACAGCCTGAGCTATGGAGAGGCGAGTGTGAGATGTGGATGAGCTGTGCTGACCCACGTCTGGGCTTTTCTCCCCACGACAGAATTCTGTCTCCTCCAAGGGAAGCATGGTGGCTTTGAGCATGAGAAGAAAGCTGACTCTGTCTACTTGGACCCCCTGGCCTACAGAGAATTTGCTTTCCTGGACATGCCGGATGGGGGTCAAGAGATCTCGTCCCCGGATGGGCCATTACGTGTTTTAAAACAAGGTATTTATTGCCTGCAGTGTGGTTATGGTCAGATGGAGAAGTGGACCCCCTCCCAAGAGGTGATGGGACCTTCAAGACCCCCTTGGATCTGAGGGAGGGCCAGGTTTCTGGTGCTGTTTTGGAGAATGGAGAGAGATCCCTAGCATGGGAGGCCAAGGTGTGCACTGGGCAGGCGCCTGGCAGTTTTCTTCCCCTGTAACCGCAGACCCCGACTGACTACTGAGGAAGGCCAGGAATGAGCAGAGCTGGAGACTCCAGGATCTCTGTCAGCTTCGTTACATTCTGGGCTTTACTGCATGGCAGGCTGCTCTTTGTCAGCATCGTAAAAGCCATGGAGGCGCCTCACCCACATGGCAGCAGGGATGGACCCATGAATTGGTCATTGCAGTTCTCTTTGCTCCACATAGCTTGTGGCTTTCGAATTGGTTTGCTTTTCTGAGTGCAGGAGAGCAGTGTGCAGAAGGGAGAACAGGTTAGAGGACAAAGGAAAACATGTGATAAGAGCTTAGGAGGAGCCAGGGCTGCCTCAGACTATGCGGTGCCTTGCATAACAAGGAAAGAGAACCCTCTCCAGGGCTTCAGTAAATCCCTAACCAGAGGATGCTGTTCCTGCCACAAAGTGTCGGTGCTGGAGAACAGGGTGATGGAGACCCGAGGCTAAGGTAGATCTTCCCTGGGGCAAGAGCTGACTAAACTTGAGGCGTCTTGCAAGATGTGACTGAGGCTGAGCTGGAGTTGCCCGGCAGTGTGAACTCCCTTCCCGCTGCTCCAGGCAGAATCAGCCATCCTCTTGACTGGAGTGCCTTGGGCAGCTGGGGATGGTGGCAGGTGTAGCAGGAATACTGGCCCCCAGATTCTAGGCTAACCAGGACAGCCTTTCTCTCCAGGCAGGGTCTGATGAAGACTGAGTTGTATCTGGGGGAGTGTTTGAAGATACACCTCAGGAGCTCTGTGCCCCACCTGTAAGGCTTTTGGCAATTGTTTCCCAGGCCTCCATCAGCAAGGCCATGCATTTGTTTCAGCATGCAGTCCTCAGTAGGAAAGCACAGCCTCATCTTTTTTGACTTAATTTACTAGGAACTTTTGCCTGTCCTGAGGAAAGAGAAGAGGATTTCAGGGCTCAGGTTCCGGGCCCCCTGGGAGGATGTGAGCAGCATAGCAGAGTACACTCTGTGCTCATCTTGAGCAGGGGTGAAAGGCACAGGGAGGGAAGTGGACTCCATGCTTGTCAGGGACACAGGGTGCTGGCCCTTTTATGGTGTATTGAAAAGGAAAACCTGCCAAACTGTTGTGCATCTCTAGACAGCGCTGGGAAGGACCTGTTTGGGGACCAGTGTGGTTCATACTCAGTGATTCAGCCTTGAGGATGCATTTCTATAGATACCATGCCAAACAAGAGCTTAAGTAGCTTCCAGGAACCACCTGGTCAAGGTTAGCTCTGCATGTGCAGAGAAGGGTGAGACCTGGGGTGTCCAAGTGTGCTTCCCTGTCCCTGTACCTTCCCTGGTTCTTGAGAATCACTCAGGGTGCTGCGTGTCTCCAAGCCCCACAGCCAGCTCTGAACCTGGAATCCTTGGGAGGGGGTGACCGAGAGTCAGGCTGTGAGCTAGGCCTGACCCTGCCTGCATCTGCTCTGCCTCTGCAGCAACACTGCACCTGGAGAGGAGCTTCCGTCCCTTTGCCGTGTTACCTGCACAGCAGCAGGTGGCGCTGTTCTGCCTCCTGCAGACAGTCCTGTTTGATGAGGAGCTACTGAAGGCCCTGGAGCAAGTGGTGAGGTGGCGGGGGAGGTGGAACCGGGGGTGGAGAAGAGTGTTGAGTTTGGGTTTGCACCTGGTTGCTCTGAAAATGTGCACAGGCTAGACTCCTCAGGATACGCTTTGGGATAATTCAAAATTACGTTTCACTACCTCCTTTTAACCCTAAAGCTTGTTGCTGACATCAGGTGGAGAGGGATAAGTGACTTCCTTAGAGCTATAACAAATGACCACAAGCTTTATCAGAAATTTATTCTCTTACCGACCTGGAGGGCAGAATCCAGAATCGACAGTGGCAGCAGAGCCAAGCCCCTCTGGGGGAGAATTCTTGTTACCTGCTGTTTCTGGTGGCTCCTGTTATCCCTTGGCTTGTGGCTGCATCACTCTTATCTCTATCCTGCCCTCTCTTGTTTGTTGGGGTCTTCTCTAGACACAAAACTCACCAAGGACCACCGTTACTGGATACTGGGTGCTCTTACATTGAGACTCTCACCTTAATGACCCTTGCAAAGGCTCCTTCCAAATAGGCCTGTTCTGAGACTGCAAGGGACATGCATAGCTCAGTGAAGGCTATGAGGCAGAGCCTGTTAGCCTGCTCCATTCCCATTCAGGACACAGATAAGTAGGTTTTATCACTGTTTTGCAAGATTTTGAGGGACACACCAGCTGCTCACCCTCCATCAGCGCAGAGTTTTTGTACTTAATGAGGTGGAGGCTTTGACAATTTTCTTTTCATGTGAGCGTTTTCCACCTTTCTTTCTATACTGCTCAAATGCTTTAGGTGTTCAGAAAACACTCTTATTTGCCTCCCTCTTGAAATGAGATTGCACCAGAGAGCTTAGGAACCAGGGGCAGAATTGCAGTTGTCTGAGGTGTCCAGTTTGCCTTCTGGAGGATGCAGGGCTTAACCCTAGGAAGAACACAAATGTTTCAGAACCCCACGACTTTTACTTCATAAAATAGTTCCCTCCTAGAGGAAAACATCAGGCTGCTCCCTTGTGGAGAGAGTAGCAGCTGCCCTGTCAGGTGCTGGTCGAGCATCAGCTGGCAGCTGGGTGTTAGCGGGGACACAGGGCACTTATGGAATGGAGCTAGCCCAGAGGGTCAGAACTGGTTCATGGGCAGTGCCAGCCACCCCAGAGCAGCCCTGTGGGGATGGACTAAGCTACCAAGGCAGGCTGGGAACACACTAGGTTTAGAGAGCTGTTTTTAAGAGTGGGAATGAGGAAGAGGATTGCTTTTATGTCTGTCCCAGTCATCAGTTTGGTATGGAGCCGCCTGTCCCTGGTGTCTGGTGGTAAAACTCCATGACCTTGCTTTGGTCTAGGAGGTTCTTTCTCCCGACATTTCCTGCATGATTTTCCTCCTTCCCTGGAGAAAGGCTGGTACTTGGGTGAGGCTCACCTTAGTGTGTCCTTAGGTGGAAATTTAAGCCCACAGATAGCATCAAAGTATGGAAAAGGGTTCAGGGCCTGCTTTACCTGGAGAGGTTGCGGTGCATGGAGTGTTGGGAAGGTGAGGTAGGGCAGAGGCTCAGTTGGGTTGTATGTCAATGGGTTCTGCTTCACCATAGCCTTTCTTCCCTTTCTACATTGTAGTGTGACGATATGGCTGGTGGCCTCTGGTCCTCACAGACTATCTTGGCAATGGAGTTGCTGACAGATAGTCAGCAGCAGGACCTCACAGCCTTCCTGAAGCTGGTGGGCTGCAAGGTACAGGGTGAGCGTCCTGGCCCGCAGGATGAGGTCAGCAACCAGAAGCTCTTTGCAACAGCCTACTTCCTGGTCAGTGCACTAGCAGGTATGGAAACCAAGACAAAAGAGAACAGGGCAATGTCTGCCATGGCTGGGAAATGGTGTTGCCTTTTGTGTGCTTCTGGAACACAGAGGCAAAGATGACCAAGGATGCTTTGGTACAGTTCTCACTTCAGTCCTGAGGAAAGGGGGTGCAAGGTCAGGGGAGAGTCCTGTCACTCCGAGCACCCACTCTGAGGGTACGTCTGTCCTACTCAGGGAAGACTACCTCCTGGTTCCCTCGCTGAAAGTCCCTTTCAAAATACAGCCTGTGACCCACAGCAGCGTCCGGACAGTGCTGTGTAGCAGGCCCGTTCCCTTGGCAGCTGTTTGTCCCACTCTTCCTGTGCGCTTGTGGCACACATCATGGTATTCTCGGGGTCAGAGTATGTGCTGTGTGACAGATACACAGGCCAGGAGGCAGCTATGGCTGGGCTTCTACATAGGTCTTGAGACAGCTTCCCAGGGTTACTGCCCCATGAAACACACCATGCAGGAAAGCCTGGTGGTTCCCTGGGACGCAGCTGTAGCTACATCCCCTTCCCAGAGGCCCTACTTTCCTCCAATGCATGCTAATATGCACTGGGGCCCTGATACACAGGGGCTTTCTCCCAGCACTACGGAGGTGTTTAAAAAATGAATCAGCGCCAGGCGGTGGTGGCGCACGCATTTAATCCCAGCACTCAGGAGGCAGAGGCAGGCGGATCTTTGTGAGTTCGAAGCCAGGCTGGACCGACAGCCTCCAAAACAATAGAGAAACTCTGTCTCGTAAAAACAAAAACAAAACCAACCAACCAACCAAACAAACAAAAAATGAATCAGCAAGCGTGTTCCAGCTTGATGTGCTGATGGGTAAACCCTGCGAAACTCCACCTGGACCTGGACCCATGCTAACAGTGAACATGCTTGAGTACAGGCTTTCTGTCAGGCTTGAGAAGCCTTCTCACGTATCCTCTACTACTTAAGCATTTCTGTGTAGAGCAGCTCATGGCTGACGGGGGATAGCACAGTCCTATTCTCCCTGACCTAGACACAGCTCTGCAGTTGAGCACAAGAGGGTGTTACACAAAACTTATTCCCATTTGGAAACTGGATGCAGGGAAGGTTTTAGGTACAGCCAACATCTGTATCAACCCTGCCTTTCCATCTGAGCTGTGAACTCATTTTAGCAGCCATCGAGGTGGTTGGCTTTTGGTAGCATTCTGGTTAATCTTGGATTCGTCCTTGGCCAACTCTTCCCAGACATCATGGCATCCTAAGATCTGGGGATTGTGCTGGAATAGTGGTCCCTCTTGGGCCCTGACTGTGGCATTTGGCTTTATCCTGCTTAGCTGCTTCCAGAACTGCAGTCGGCTGTCTCCAGGAAAGCTTCCTCTGCCTGTGTGACTATGAGCAAATCTTAGCTCTCAATACCACAGAACCTCATCTGTAACTGAATCACCTTTTCGAGACTTGCTGGGCAGTTTTAGTTTTCCAGGCAGTTAAGGGAGGGCAGAGCATGTCTGGCCTGGGACATGCATCAGGGTGAGAGCTGTCTTTGTGCTGTGCTCACAGTTGTGGGTAAACATCTCTAGGGATGAGGCTACAGGCATGCACCACCGTGATTGGCTCCCACAAACTGGTTTTTGACAATGACCATGACCATGATGCATGTCTTCCACAGAAATGCCAGATAATGCCACAGTTCTCCTGGGGACTTGCTGTAAACTCCACGTTATTCATGTGCTGTGCCACCTGGTAAGAAGCCCTCAGATGGGGCAGTGGGGTGGAAAGGAAAGGGGATGAGGAGGGATGGATGCTATCCACTGGTAAAACATCTCCAGTTTCTCAGCTTGAGACTGTAAGCACGGGCCATCATTAACACATGGGTACTGGGGGAGGTCCAGAGCAAAGTGTTCAGAGCTGGCTAGCAAAGCAGCCCAGTGTGCAGACTCCAAATCATGTTCTTTCCCCAGTTTGGAGACTTGGCCATAGCTTGGGACTGAGAGGCCCAACACCCTGTTGTTGGTCACTGATGTTGGTATCAGTAACTTGGTGCTCTCTGGAAATACCACTGCAAGAGCAAGTGACTAGTGATGAATCCAGCCGCAGAGTGGAGCTAAGTTCTCAAGTTAGAGAGGGCAGTTAGCAGAGGGACTAGCAACAGGTTGCCCCAGATTGCCCAGAAGCAGCTTCCACAGCCTGTGTTGGTAGAAGGCATCCCTGGGACATTTAAGGTCTAGTTTAGGTCCAGGCCCCACGGTTACTCCATAGAGCAAAGCATGTCTTCTGGGAATACCAAACCATGTAGGTGGTCTTGGAAGTTGTTCTGTATGGAGAATGTGTCAGAAGCCAAGACCACTAGGTATCTTATCACACAGCTGGGCAGGTGCCATCAGAATTGACCATAGATTCTGTGCCCCAGTGGATACTCAACTACTTGGAAACAGTTGAAGGTGATGGCAGCTAGTGTAGTTTGATTATATAAATGATACAATTGTCCTAATTGCACAAGATGATGAGCAAAACAGCTCTGTTGCCTCTTGCAGCAGTGAGTGCTCAGCACTTCCAAAGTCTGTTTCTCAAGTATTTAGGGACTAATTAAATCCATTGAGGAAGTACACAAAGAAGAAACTTGTGCTAAGGGAGCCAAGCCATAATGAACTCACTTAGCACCCCTTTAGTCAGCTCTGGCTCTGACCTAGGCTGATGTTCATGACCAGCCATGAACCAGTTCCAAAATGGGTGGACTCTGCTGTGTGCAGATGCACCTGGCCTGTCTTTTGAAGGCTGCTCAGCAGACAAAACAGGCTTCGTTAAAGGAAGACCTTCCTAGGAGCCCTCAGGAATCTCTGTAGATTTCTGGCTGCTGCTCTTTAGAAGAGCCAGGCTCCTGCAAGAGTGGAACATTGTGTACTTCTTATAGTGACTTACCTAGAAAAGGACACACAATCTATCCACACTCCTGTCTGAAGGCCCATGTAACTTTCAAGTCTTCTTTAAGAGTTTTGGGCAAACAGTGTCTGATATACTAACCATGTGCTGTGAACTGATAAGAGGGTAGGTTTGAATCAGTAGAGAAATCTAGAAAATATTCCTGGTCAGAGGATACAGAAGAGCAAGGACAAAGGTTCTTGAAGCAGGAAATACAATTAATGATAGTACCTACACTTGAGTTTATCCAAATATCCAAGAAATTCTAATATTGCCATTTACATTAATAAACAAAACAACCGATGGCCAAGTGATGGTAGTGGTGAGTGCATACTTCCTCAGAGCTAAGGGAAAACTGTATATTGCAGAACTCCAGAAATCAGCAAAAGTGCATAGAACATTAAACAACGTGGGGAGTACCTGTTGTATGTACGCTGCCCTTCACTACCCTGATGCTGTCTGGGGAAAGATGGAAAACGGCTGCAGGCCTCATCATTCTGCGAGCTTGCAAATGTAACGCCAAGCCAGAGTACTTACCGCGTTCTGTCCACTTTGATGAACTGGCTTGTGAACTCAGGGCTCAAAGAAGGTGGTCACCTGAGCTGGGTCTCCCATAATCATCTGAGCTCTTACCTTATTACAGACCTTGGGTCCTGTGCCCACACTGGGTGCAAGGCAGTGCTGTCACCATTTTGCTGCTTCAGACTCTGACGTACCATAGCCACATGCCCAGGAGCCATCTCCTCCTCACTCTACAATCCTGACGCTGTGGGGCTGTAGCCACACTGTGAAGCCCCAGCCTCACTTGTCTATCGGGAGCTAGCCAAGTTCCCAGTCAGGTCCTGCAGCTCCAGGAATCCATCGATCAGGGCCCCAACTGCCAGTGACATCTCACCCACCCACAGTGGGAACTAGGGAACTTTTTGTGCCTACAATTTTGGAACTGTAGCTGCTGGTGCAAAAAGTCTCAGCAACTCGGGCTTATAGTTGGGATCACATCCGTGGTCTTCAGTTTTGTGGCAAACAATGCCACACGTATTGGCCTCTCCATTGTTTACTCTTTGCATGATCTAGGTAGAATTCTACCCTGGCCTTGCAGTCACAGACCACAGACACCAAAAGGCTTGCATGCCACTCACATTAACCTGTGGCACAAAGGGGAATTCTCCCCCATGCCCTGCACCTTGAAGCATGGAAACCAGAACTACTGGAAAGGCCCAAGGAACTTGTCTTCCACAGTCCATTGACTTTGGCCTAGGACTGCTAGTACTGAATAAAACTTGTGCTTATCTCTTGGGTCCTGGAGGAGATACTGTCTGGATCCCACACCTATAAAGCCCCAGCAACTTTAATCACCCCCATGGGATTAGGGAAAAGCTCCTTTATGTTTTAAAACCTTAAATCCATGGTTACCATAGACGTTTATCTGGCGAGACCAGGAGAAAGGGGCTGGATCCATCCTGTAGCTCTAGAATTGCTACAGACCCAAGTATCTTCTACAACTCTTGGTATGATCTATGCGCACCTGGATAGCTCCTTTTACATCTCATACCAATGAGTCCATAGCAGCTGAATACACTTGGAAGCCTGTGCTCTTGGCAAAGCCCTACAGATACCTTTATGAACTACTGTGGCCAGGATTGTAGCTGTACCCCTAGACCCTAATAGTAGGAACCAAATGAGGCGCTGCATAGCGGACACACCTTGAGCTCATGTGTAACTAAAGCCATAGCATCCATCCAGCTGATACTCAAATGAACAAAAATTCCTACAGAAAATGCCTCAAAATATTGGCGTTTCCACAGATATACAGGATAAAAAGAACAAGCCAGCTCCAAAGAGAATAGCTGTTCTCTAAAAATAATCTCTGAGAAGGAAGTCTGAAGAGAGTTTACAGTAATGATCCCATGGAAACATTAATAAGTTCCAAGAGAATATAAACAAAATATGAAGAAGCAAGAAAAAGCAATTCAAGATGTGAGAAACTAAGAATTCTTACTTAATTCTTGAGCTAACACATCCAGCCAGTGCAGTAAGACACACAACGCTCTGACCACAGGCAGGAAGCAGCACCAGGAAAGACTGCAGAAGCTAAGGACAATGCTTCCAATGACTTCAGTAAGATAAGGGGCTGCTGTGCGTAATGGGGGAAGCTACAAGGTGTCTAGGGCAGAATGATGCGAGCAAATATCTGCACTGCGGGGATTCCAGATTGGGAAGGAAAAGAAGGCATTTAAAAACCAATTTCATGAAATAATATCTGAAAACTTCCCAAATCTTCAAAGAGATACAGAGATCTACACACAAGAAACATAAAAGACCCCAACTAAACTAACAAGCACATTATGCCCCCACCAAGGCATATTATAGTCAACACAAAAAAATTGTAAGACAAGGACAGAATCAGAAGGAAAAACAAACCTAGTCACATAAGGAATGCCCATAGATGTAAGGAGACAGAACGGTATGCTCTAAATACTGAAGAAGCTAATGTCAACCAGGAAACCAGAGCCTTTAAAAGTGAAGGACAAAGATGGTCTCACACAAGCAGAAATGGAGGGAATTCATGACACTGGATCAACACTGCAGAAACAATAATGGGAGCAGACAGCACTCTAGAAAGATCAGGTGCCATTATCACAGTGTGTGATATCACAGTGTTTGAGTATGCAAACCCCACACTAGAAAGATCAGGTGCCATTATCACAGTGTGTGATGTCACAGTGTGTGAGTATGCGAGCCCTACTGGCAAAGCAGACACATGAAAGGAAGGAACACTAAATCCCCAGCATGTCACAAAAATAAGTGACAGGTGAACATCTGTACAAAATAAGAATAGAGCAACACAATGACATGTACATGGATTAAATTCACCAACCAATAGACTAGTTGAATGAATGAAAAAAAAAAAAAGTAAGAAAGAGCAGGGCATGGTGGCGAATGCTTGTAATTCTAGAAATTGGCATATGGAGGTATTTTCAACAGAAAGCTTAAGGGCAGTGTGGGCTGCATGAGACCCTGTCTTAGAAAAAATAAAACAAAGAAAGCCCAAACATACCATTCACCACTATATGCTATCCACAGACACAAGAATCCACTTACTGATGCATGTGTGTGTGGTGGTTTTAATAGCAATGGCCCCCATAGACTGGCTCATGTGTTTGAATGCTTGGCCCATGGGCAATGTATCACTGTGGGGACAGGTTTTGAGGTCTCAAATGCTCAGACCAGGCTCAATGACACAAAGCTCTTTTCCTGCTGCCTGGGGATCAAGATGTAGAACTCTCAGCTCCTATCCAGCACCGTGTCTGCCTGCACACTGCCATGTCCTTCCATGATAATGGACTAAACCTCTGAAACTGTAAGGCAGCCTCAACTAAATGCTTTATAAGAGTTGTCATGTTCATGGTGTCTCTTCACAGTAATAAAAACCCTAGCTAAGACAGTGTATTAAAAGAAACAGAAAAAAAAAAGCAAGCACCCAAAAGCAAGCAGGAGTTACACTCATATTCTCATAGGAGAGGATGGACTTCAAATAAAAAACTAGAGAACGCAACCACTATATATTCATAAACGGATCAGTTCACCAACTGGATGCAGTAAGTGTAAATGTATGTGGATCGTTGAACTGGTACCAGTTCAATAGCCAAAACAACTGTAGATCTGAAAGCAGGGGGATGAATAGAGGTACAGCCAGGAACTACCCTTCTTTTTCCACTATGGGCAGCACACTGAGACAAAATTAAACACCTGAGTCTAAACGTGCGATTGTTACGTTACAGGCAGCTTAACCAGCAGCAGGAGCAGCAAACTCATTAGAACATGTACTACATACAGTATGTTAGGTCACAAAGAAGTCTCAGTGCATTTTTTTTAGTTTGAAGATAGTTGATTTATTATAAAAGAAATCAAGAATAACCAGTTATCACATTCTACCTACTACAGCCAAGACACATTGAACCCTATTATGCCAAGAATAAGCAATGGCCCAAGACAGACTACAGAGAGGCTGTGAATCACATTCAGTGAAAGGGCGCTCAGGGTTCTTGCAGAGGCACAGAGGATTTGATGAAGCCAAGGCACTGGCAGGCTCAAATGACTGTGAGGGACAAAATAAGATGTTCTTATTTTGTGGGTGAACTTTTAGGAAGAAGAAGAAGTCTGTGGAAGTTTTTCTATCAAGGCCACTCTCATAGAGCTAGTCCGCTGATAAACAGAGTGCATCTTTTACCTATGGCACACGTACTACCTTCAGTAGCCTTACTTCTGCACATTAACCCCATGCCCCACCACCCAGTAGAACTTCATTATTGTTCTAGAGCCGAAGTCAGTAATCACCCTTCCCCCAAGACATAATTCAGAGTGAGTCTTGGTTTTCTATTTTAACATGTTATTTATGTGATGAGTGTGTTATCTGCGTGTGTGTATATATAGCACATATATGCCTGACTCCCTCAAGGGTCGGATCCTTTGGATCCGGGGTCACCATGTGGGCACTGGGAACCAATGGTCCCTTCAAGAACAATGTGTGCTTACTTGCTGAGCCACCTCTCCTGCCCCCATGGGCTAGTTTCTGAATAAAGACCTTAGCCGTGGTTCTCAACCCTCCTAATGCTGCTACCTTTTCATACAGTTCCTCATATTGTGGTAACCCCTAACCATAAAATCATTTCGTGGTTTCGTCATAACTAATTTTACTACTGTTACAAACTGTGATGCAAATATTTCATATACAACCTCCTATGGGGTCTCAACCCACAGATTGAGAACTGCTGTCTTAGAGCCAATGGCTACGAATGAATCATTAGATACAATACACTGATTTACACTACATTAAATAAAAGGGCCAAAATATTTAGGTTTTTAACCGAAAAAAGATACTGATGAACCTAAACTGAGTTTTTTTTTAAATAACAGTTTAGCTTGGAAGAAATTTATTTTTTCTTTATAAAACCCTTGAAAATGATGGAGGTGCTAGTTGGTGCCACTATAATTCATAGCTATTACTTTGTAGCTTCTACTTAAGAATTAATTCATGACTATTTTGTTCCTTTAAAAAAATACTCTTTGGAAACCATTATTACTCCTGAAGACACATGCTCTAGGAACCTCTCTTGTAAAAAAAAAAGAAATGAAGACACAATCACGCTTTGCTAAGTCCAACTATCTACACACATTCTAACTTTGTCACTTCGCCAGTTAACCTATGGCCTCACTGTATTTTTACCCAGAAGTCCATCTTTAGCATAGGAAAAATGAATATTATGTATCTTTGGAGCTCACAAGGGAATAAAACTTAAAAAACCCCCAGAAATTATAAAAATACACATTCCTAGTGACTAGTAAGTGGAGAAATTCATGAAACAAATGCAAGGAACACAACAAAATCCATGTCCATAGCAAACATAGCAATGAAAGGGAAGTTTTGAACAATAAATGCATACATTGGACAACAGATCTTAGCAACTGACCAACTGCTACAACTCAAGGATGTAGGAAAAGTGAAGACAAACCAAAACCCAAATCTTAGCAGAAAATCAAAACTTAAAAACACAAAAGAGTTGGGTGTGGTGGCACATACCTTTAACTCCAATACTTGGGAGGCAGAGGCAGGAGGATATCTGTTCTTTCCAGGACAGCTTGATATACACAGTAAGTTACAAAACAGTCAGGAATACATATTGAGACCCATAATAGATAAACCACCCATACTTCACAGTAATTACAAACATATGAAAAGTTCAACACAAAATGGTATGTGCAGGCAAAAATTCCTATTGCCCTGATTTTTTAGCTATAGATTCTATAGTGTATTGAGTTACTCTAATGTATCCCACAAAAAAAAGCACACGTTTATCAGTAAAGTCAGATGAATCCTTATATGTGGCATACAAAAGGGACATGCTGATTTTTCTACCCTACTGGACTGATGGGGCTAGAAGTTGTAACATAATGAGGTTTTGGACAGGAAGACAGGCAAGGAAGAGAAAAACAGGCCTAAGGTCTTATCATGAAGAAACATGTATCTTGTCCTATTTGGGAGAACTGTTAAAAAAGATATCAAATTTGGATTGCCGGGGACATTTTGAAGTTGGTTTAAATTTGTCATTTCAGCTCCACGCTCTCTCTGATGACAGAGTATGTGATTTTGAAGACCCCACCTTGGCTCCTCTGAAAGATAACGAGAGGTTTGAGATTGTGCAGCGTTTGTTTGCTTCTGCTGACATTGTCTTGGAGAGGATGCAGTTGTCTGTGAAAGCCAATATCCTGAAGGACTCTTGCATCTTCCCATTAATTCTTCATATTACTCTAAGTGGGCTCTGCACTCTAAGCAAAGAACACGAGTAATGTCTTTGTCTGTCAGAAGTATGTGCTACTGGGCACTTTTCAGATGAAACTGAGAAAATACTTGGGTATTTTGGGCCCAAGAATGCTAAGTTGGTCAGTGAATTCCAAAGCACAGTAAGAGTGGTGATTTCCACACTAAATGCCTGCAAGTACTGTGAATGGTTTATTTTTATCAGAGGCCCACTGTGCCAATAGACAGTGAACCCTGGTAACCAAGGTAGACTCCAACACCTGAGTTACTGAGGGAAGAGTCAAGTGCTTTGTAATTGACTCACCTGTCATTTTATTTTCCATTCACTTCTGTTTTACCATCACGGAAGAGTCTGAGACTCCAAAATTCATCTTAGGCTGTGAATGCTACAGGAAAGCGATTCTCTTCATTTCTCTGGGACATGCTGTATATTATATGATGACTGAGAAACTGCAAATGGTACCTGAGTTTATGAAACAAAACTGCATAAAGGACATGTGATTTCACCCACCTCGACATGGGGATTTAGACTTATTTGGCTTTGTTACACTTTGATGAATATACTATGCCTGGAAAAGCTCCAGTGCATTCTGGGAATTTGTCACATGTTACAATTTCTATCAAAGTAAATTCTGAACTATGTATAGTTTGTTGTTTATTCTGTTCTGATATCCTGCTCCAGCAGGCTTGGACAATCTCCCCAAGCCTCCCAATTCCACTGAATATCTGTTACTATATGGGTCAGACTCAATGCCTGTGGGCAGAAGCAGCAGGGAGATGCACGTTAGCATGCAGTTATCACCTCCACTTCAGGCTGTAAGGGAGAGAAACGAAAATGAAATAAAATGAGACTCCACCTCATGCAGTTGCCTTTTATGGGGTTAAAGTCATATCAGAGTCACTGCTTAGAAATAAACTGATCATAAATTAGGAAGGAAATGCAAATGTGTGTAGTTGTGTGAAGTTGGTGGTGCTGTGTCTCATCTACTTCTGACATAAGACATGAAGAGCAAGCTATGGACAAAAATGAATCTACAGGTGGAGAACACACACATGTGCATGGGGATGCATGTCTAGCGCAGTGGTACATTGTAAATTCAGGGACTTTAGAGATTGGGACAAAAGGCAAAAAAATGTTATTTTCTAACGTTTATCTTCTAGTTAGAATTTTGTATTATCCTTATAATTAAGGAAAAAAACCCCTAAATAACAAGTTGTATAAAATGGAACATATAAAAGGGACTGGGAAACAGTTCAGTGGGTGCAAGCATGGAAACATGAGTTGGGTCTCTAGCACCCATGTAGGATACCAGGTACTGTGATCACATCTGTAATGCAGCACTGGAAGGCAGAGACAGGAAGATGTATGGACTTGTCAGACAAGCCAATCAGAGAGCTTCAGTTTCAGTTAGAGGACCTATCTGGGGAAAAAAATAACCCAAAACATCTGGAGAGCAATAGAGGAAGACATCTCTGGCCTTTATGTGCATATGTGAACACACATAAACACACAAAATGGGGAAAACAAAACGCTTTCTGGAGACATCAGAAAGACCCTAAAGCAGCAGGTTCCTAAATGTGAGGTATGGAATTCTAGAAACCAGTATGGGAGCATTCCAAAGGGCACTTCTGGAAAGGCTTCCTGCTATATAAAGCCACACTGCTGTATTTTGGTGGGTTCTTAACCTCTTCCTGCAGGCCCAGTGTTAAAGATGCAACCCACAACATGCTGAAACACATGACTTCTCTTTCCTGGGCAGATGGGAAGTGGCCACAGTGACTCATGCTGTCTAAGCAGAGTCTTGGTTCCTTGATCCTACATTTTAATCTTCCCCGACTCTGAAACCCTTTCCAATGAAAGCCTGAACAGAAACAACAGCACAGGGAACCCTGGCTAAAAAGCAGAGACCGGTGAAAATTTATTTAGATGGAAAAACTTTTAATGAAGGACTTTAAAAAATCATTTAAATAAATGTTAATGTGATATCCTGTAGTTTTATCTCTTAGTTCTACCTATAAACAAAACACTGCCAATTTTCAAACAGCAAAAATTTTCAAACACCAAGTATTTACATAAACAAAAATATTTTTACCAGGAATATGTAATCTCACAAACTGAAACTAGTAAGTTTTAACTGTATATGGAAATAGGTTGAAAGATTTATAGTGAAGTTTCTGACAAATAATTCCTTACTGTATTAAAGGAAATTCATGTATACAAGAGCAGCAATGTTTCTCTTTGTAGAAATTAGCACTGCAGACACCCGGAAAGCAGGGATGCTGAACTTTTATTTTTTTGGTTTTTTCGAGACAGGGTTTCTGTCTTGTTTTGGAGGGTGTTCTGGAACTCGCTCTTGAACTTTTGTTTTTTAAACCTTTTCATCAGAAAGGTCCTTAAGCAGCTTGGCAAGCTTTGACTTTTCTAAGCATGTTGTCTTCTACTGAAAACTTATAGGCACTGAAAAGGGTGGGGCTAAAAAGAGCACATATTTGTGTTAGGAGGAAAGGTGTATAGAAATGAACTGGGGGTGGAGAGGCAAAAACATTCCCACAGCAAGTCATTCACATCAAATGGTCTTTGTGGGTTCTGACAATTCAAAAAAGTTTACAGAAAATTCCATTTCTTGCTGAACACTTGTGCTGGCTAATTTTATGTCAGCTTGGCACAGTCCAGTCATCTGAGAGGAGGCACCCCAATTGAGAAAATACCTCCGTAAGATCAGGCTGCAGGCAAGCCTACAGAGAGAGCATTTTCTTAATTAGTGACCAGCTCACTGTGGGTGGTGCCACCGCTGGGCTGGTGGTTCTGGGTTCTATCAGAAAGCAGGCTGAGCAAGTCACAAGGAGCAAGTTGGTAAACAGAGTTCCTCCATCAGCTCCTAGTTCTAAGTTCCTGGCCTGCTTGAGTTCCTGTCCTGACTTCCTTCCCTGGTGAACAGTGGTATGGAAGTATAAACCAAACAATTCCTTTCCTCTCTAACTTGTTTTGGTCATGGTGTTTCATCACAGCAATAGTAACCCTAACTACGACAACACTATTGCTCATTCTTCTACAAGGCATCACTTAAAAAACAAAACAAAAAAGCAGCAACAAAAACCAGTGTTACAGAAGAAACAGGAATCAGCATTGTTCTTTTAAGATGATATACAGTGAAAAAAACCATCTACTTTCCTGTTCAGATGCTATAGGAGAAACATGAACTAACAGCAGTGGTGTTATAAGGAGACACTTTACAAAGGATGACTTAGGTAAGCGAGTGGCACCTCCATGGGGAACTGGAGATAAGCAGTGTGCTAACCAGGCTTGTCAGAAATGGCAGAGGAAAAAAAAAATTGTTCCTCAAACATAACTGGAGTTTAGGACTCCTGAGACAGTCAACCAATTCTCATATCAGAATACAAATCTCTAGGGTGGCAGATCAAGGGAGTAGCACAGGGTGACAGCCATCATTAAGTTCTGATTTGCCATTAGGTCTTTTACCATAGTTCTGCCAAGTGGGCAACATGACCTTGCATAACAAACATCCGAAACAACACTGGTATATCTTTGCTGTGTAAATCTCCCATCTGCCCACCTGGACAGATTTGCAGACTCCTGCCTTTTTTAATTGTTCAAGTAATCTGGGGCCAGGACCTGACAGAGATTTAAGGACGGCAGCACGTAAGGAATGTATAAACCCAAGGCCTATATAAGTTGGTGCAATCTTCTATTTGAGGCTATTTGAGACCAGGCCTATGCAATTATTAGAGGAATTTTCCTCTATTAATTTCTATGTGCTGAGTGACTTCTCACTGAGAAGGCATGCTCTTTCTATAACAGTAGAGCATCTAAGTAGCTCTTCCTGTAAAGACTAAGGCATTTCTCATTTGGACCACACTTATTAGCAGTGCTACCACTAACATAGGTGTAATCATGTCTTAACTGATAATGGTCTCTGGCTTAATGTAATTTATATCTGAGCAGGGTTTTGGCTTGTTTGTGGGGTGTTGGCCTGTGCCCAGGGCCATGTGCACACTAAGCTAGCAAAGTGCTCCACCTCCTCAGCTGAACAGTTTTAATGTGGTGATCTTTCTTTCCTCTTACCTAGTTTTAAGTTTCCTCTATGTTCTCAGGCAACGTTGACTAGTAGAGGAGGGAAGCCAGGTTTGAGGTATGGCCTATCACATTTATGTACAGATTGCCTATTCATGGTTTGTCTTTGGCTCAAATGCAATAAAGACAACTATTTCAGATGTTTGAAATGAAGGCTGTGACTACTGTTGAGAGGTGGAGCACGCTCAGCGTGTGCAAAGCCCTGGGCTTATCCCCAGGTCATCTCTGTTATGTGGTAGTGACATTTATTTCAGGAGACTAAAAAAGCAGTAATTTTATATATAAGAAATGGTCAACTTCCAAGTTATAAGTAGCAGTTACCTTAACTATTGATATGTTAATTCAGTTTGTTCAAGTGATTAAAAAACAACAAAGTAAGAATAGGACTTGGGATAGGAGTCTAACGGGGCTCCTAGAGTATGACCACCTAGAGAAGGATCAACGAAAGGCAGGCCACATCATCTACCAGACTGCAGCTCAATCAAGGAGCTCTCTTAACCCTGGGGAAGGGTTCCTCAACAGTTCACCATCTGCTACTTCACCTCCGAATGAAGTGACTTTACAGGGACTGAAGGAGAGGCAACCTTTGGTAAGAGAACACATTTAATAAGCAGTCTCAGGCCACCACATCACAATCACAAGTCACTGCTTAGAGCTTAAGATGAAGACTTAGCCCTACATAACGCATGGAAGGGAAAGGGCAATTAAATGTTACCCAAATACCATGGTCAAAAGTGGAACCTTAGTCAATAGAAGCAGTACAACTATTTTTACTTTTAACACAAGAGATTATTTTTTTTAAGACAATCTTGTTGTGTTTTGCCCAAGTGGTGCAAATCTTGTTTACCTTAGAAAAGAGAGCATCATTCTCTTGCTTTTTAGTTCACTAAGGACGTGTGATTCTGCATTTTTCTTAAGTCACTCCAGGATACAAAGTAATAAGATGAACTATGAGAAATATTTTTAAAAGAATATAACTTTAAAAGCTAAAACAAAAATATAATTTAAAAACAACCTTACCTTAAAAAAACTATAGAATTATCATCTTCTTCAGGTATATCACATATACTTACAAAGAGACCAATATGAGTCTGAATTATTCATCAAATGTATTCTTAAAAATCTGTGAATAATATTCAGTTATATACAATAATCTCATTATTTAAAATACTGAATTTCTCCCAAGAACTCCAAATACATTACAAATGTTGTAAGAATTCTCACAGCAAATCCCTTGGAACAGGAGGAGGGCAGGCACTGTAATCTTTAAGTCTAAGGTACAGCACAATTTCACTTCAAATTTTAAGTATTTCCCAAGAGATTCCATCCAGAAATGTTTTTTCTTAAGGAAATTAAATTCTAATAATGAAAAACAGTTTTTGGGCTTAGTTTCTCTAATAAAATCTTCGGAAAGGAGATTAACGTCAGCTTCAAGGTGGACCCAAAGCCTCTTAAAGAATCTAAAATAGATCAGAATGTCTAGGAATTTGAAAGTAATTAAAAACCTTAGAACACTAGCTGTAATATGAGCAAATATATTTAGTTTTAT